TAGTTGATGGTGATTGAAATGTTCAGATTTGAATCTATGGTGATGAAGAAAATGATGATCACGATGACTTTGCTTGTGGTTGAAGTGTAAAGATTTTGTAGATAACATTGTAATAGATTGTCAGGCTATCAAGTCGAAGGACTAAGGAAAGGCAAGTTGGAATATAAGTTTATCTTGTGTAGAGGACATCATCCAAATCGGTTTGATTTACAATTGATGGGCCAGCTGGATGATCCATTCTACGAGTGACCAAACTGAGGCCAAGTGTTAATAGGATGGTAGTAAAATTAAGACAAAGCCAAGATATTAACGGTCTCTCTCGAGTTTCAACAGACAAAATGATGGAGAGTAAAATGAGGGAAGCAGCCAGGCAATAGCTAAACATGAGCTGGTAAACTTCACGTTTAACCGAGATGAAGCCAAGTGTGTGAGTTCCTATGGCAAAAATAAGGAAAATAACAGCATAAACAGAAGCAGCAAATACTGAGGCACCACCGAAATCATCATGATTGGAATGATCATTGATATAAGCGAGAACAATGGGAATTAGTAACAAACAGATCATCACATTTATTGCTAGTAGTAAAAGTATCACATATTTGATAAACAACCATCCAGAAGAAAGATGATAGTTATTTGGTTTATTGAGCCAGGTATAAAGTAAAGCCATTTTTAAAGTCTTAATCCCGTATAGGCACCAATATTAATGATAAATCCGGTAGATAATATTCAGGAAACACAAATTACACAGGTTGTTGAAATGTTGGAGAGATGCTGGTAAAGATTGTTGCAGGTGAACGATGACAAGTGGTACACTTTGTAGAAAAGGTCTAGGAAGAAGTTCATTTAATAGTGGAAGAATATCGTCAAGAAATGTTGAAAGGCACTAATAACATGATAATAAATAGAACAAAAAAACACAAATTAAACGCAAAAAAGTTAGAGCAACTCAAAAAAATGGCGAAAATGTGAAGACAAAAAGACACTCTTTTCACTGCACAACAAACTTTGACTCATGAGATAGAGAGAGCTAGTGAAGACAAAACCAAGATACAAGATAACAAAAGCTGTTGCTTTAGATTAATCTTAAGTCATTTAACTAACCGTCTCGATAGAAACTCTCATTGATTCCATACATGAAATGTTGATTGCTCAGCGTAATAAGTTTAATAAGTTACTTTTTTCCATCATCATCTTCATTTTTCATTTTCCTCTCAGTTTTCTCGCTCATTTCAGTCTTTCTTTTCCTAGTTTCCAGTTCTCACCACTATGTCTTTCTCCTTCTCTCTGTTTCTTTGCTGTTTTTAGGTTGAAACCATTTTGTTTCAGTCAGTGTTTGATTAAGTCAAATGATAAAAATTATCAAATCACTTAGCACTTGTGCTGCCTTATTTCATCATTGTCTTCTCCTTCTTTCGTATATTCTTATAAAACTGATTGTTGCTTAGTTAAACTATCAATTAGGGGATCATTTGATTATTAGGATGGATTATTTAACATTGTATTTCCAGAGGACTGTTACATCGTTTATTTTCATCTAATTTAACGTCAATTAACTGTTCTAAATGTTTACATTTAATGTAAATATGTTTCATTTACTCACGGATTTACTCATGCTTTTTATTTACAACTGATTACGACCATAACTAACCTTTGTGGCTTTTCCTGATTTTTAATTTCAATCAATCTCAGTCTATTCTCGATGAGACAAAATCAATGTAACTCTATGAAAGTTATTTGGTAATTCAGCTCTATGAATAGCGTAGCTTGAAAACAGGGTAAATTGACTATTTCACGTAAGTTCTGTACATGATTAGTGCCAACAAATGATTTGAGAAAAGATTTTGTTAGTTAATACGGAAATTATGTTTGCTTTGGTTGATAAATCTGTGTTTAAACATAAATTGTCAGCTATCCAAATTTCCTCAATTGATCTGATGATTACAACATAATAGACATTTTTCAAAGAAACTTGAGAAGTCAAACAATATTATTGAAAGAGTTATCATTGAATAGATTGTATAAGTCGATTAACACTGAAATCATATGTGATTACGCGCTCAGCTTTTGAAATTTATTGAACTTGATTGCTGGAATCAATAATTGAATCCTAAGCTATGCAGAAACAATAAAAAAGAATTCATGTTTTCCGATAAATAAAAAGGTTGATAATAATAATCTGAATTACATATGACAATAGTGATTGTGAATTAAACTCCTGGATAGTGGATGAATTGATAAATCTGATCTATTGTTATTGTCTACCAATTCAGTATAAATGATTTTGACATTGTAAGGTTATAATTTGTTTTAATTATTGCTATGAGAGGATAACTTTCCTTAAAACAAAATGATATTATTTCAATTATTAACAGTTTTTCTGGTTCTAAACATTTCTTTAGCAAATGATTGTGTAAAAAGGACTTATACAGCCGATTCATTTGTTTGTGTTTGTGATGCTGATAAATGTGACACTTTGGATATTCAGAAAACTGTTGAACCTGGTTATATAGCAATTTATGATTCAGACCAGAAAACAGCTCGTCTTGATAAAACCATTGTACCAGTTGGTCAATTAAAGAGTCGAATCGATCAAACTAAAAGCAGCCAATTTACTTTGAATGTAAATGTTACGGATTTAAAGCAAAAGATAGTCGGATTTGGTGGTTGTTTCACTGATGGTGCTGTTATCAATATTGCAAGTTTATCCAATGATTTGGTTAAATCTTTGATGTATGATTATTTTGGTGAAAATGGTCTTGAATACAATATTGGACGAGTACCAGTTGGTGCATCGGATTCATCGACACATGCCTATTCCTTGGACGATACTCCATTTGACTTTACTCTATCACATTTCGCTCTTGCTGAGGAAGACACTAAATACAGGGTTAGTAACAACACTTTAAATACTTTTAATACAGTTTTTCACTGCAATCATTTTTTAACAACGATTTAATCTTTAATTTATTAATTATCCAGATTCCATTGTTGAAAGTAGCAAAAATGTTGAATCCTGAATTTAGAGCTTTCGCCTCTGCATGGTCATCACCAACTTGGATGAAAACAAATCACTTATTCCATACTGCTGGTGGATTGATTTGGAAACCTGGAGATGTTTATTATAAACTTTGGGCTCAATATTATGTCAAGTAAGTTTTAGAAAAGGTTATTGAATTTTGGTGGTTGAAGTTTATTTCTTGATAATCTTACTAATCATCTTTCAGATATTTAAATGCTTATTTGGACCAAGGAGTGAAATTTTGGGGACTAACCACTGAAAATGAGCCAATCGAAGGAACCAGAGGACTTCCTTGGGGAACTCTTGGAATGACTCCAGAAGATATAAGAGATTTTGTGAAACTTGACTTGGGACCAGCTCTGAAAGCCGCTGGTTGGGGCAAAGATAATCTAACCATCATGATCAACGATGACAACACAGAAGACATTGAAAGTTATTCTTCAACCTTGCTAGATGATCCTGAAGCAGCACAGTATGTAAAGGGTATTGCTTATCATTGGTACACCAGAAACTATCCATCGTCATACCAAATTTTATCAAAAGTTCATGATAAATATCCTGATTATTTCATATTCTCATCAGAAGCTGGTAATGGAGGAGTTGGTAAGTATGAATTAATACAATGATTTTATCAATTATATCTTTTAGACTAATTTAATTTCCAATTGTTTCTTTTCTGTAGCTTCTGAGCATTTAGGTGATTGGGGACGAGCCGAATCTTACGCCATTGATATACTCGAAGGCTTACAGCACTGGTCAACTGGTTGGACTGATTGGGCTTTAGCTGTCGATACTGCTGGAGGACCTAATTGGGCTAAAAATTGGGTTGATGCTACAATAGTTGTGAATGCAACAGCACAAGAGTACTACAAGAATCCAATGTATTATGCATTAGCACATTTCACTAAATTTTTACCAATTGGATCGACTCGAGTTGGATCTAGTGTAGTAAATGCTCCAGCAAATGTTCATACAACTTCATTTATAACTCCTGATAATACTTTAGTATTAATCTTGTTAAACATGGGTAATGATCAAATTGATTTGACAATCAATGGATTTGCCAAAGTACCTGTTACAACTACACTTAAACCAAGATCCATTCGTAATATGCTTATTGCATTGAACTGAAATGTTAAATAAATGAACATGAAATAACTGCATAAATTATTATTTCAAATAAAACTAACAATAAAGAGAAGAAAATCAGTGACTTTTCAGATATGAGATACAATTGATCATGCATTCGTCAAAAATGAATCATGGTAGAGTCAATTGATGGTAAAATGGTTGAATATACAATTGAATATTCAATGATAAAAAATACTGGACTCAGGATTGCTAAGTGACTCATAACAAAGAAGTTGTGGAAATATTAAAAAGACGAAATTCAAACAATTGTTCTGTATATGAATTTTCAATGCTAGCTGTTAAATGAAGCAGTGGGTTAATATTGTATGTTTGATAATTTTACAATTACAATAACGGTGAGCTAAGAGTTGACATTTATAGTATATCCGCGGAACCAAAAAAATTTCTGATCGACTGTTCGAAAATCGTGTTCAATTTGTTTTGAAAAATATTTGGACAAACATTCATCATCAATGAATTATTTGACATCTGTTGTAGCATAAATATGATCAAATACATTAAAAATATGCAGATTCATGGCTACATTGTCAAAGGCAAACATTAGCTTTTCTTGAAAAACTTATGCCCAAAATTTAACTGTAAGTTATGAATGGTTGATAGCATCACAACAAGTACAATATGTGTGTAGTAATATGTTTTCAAAAGGATTGCTGATTTGAAATGAACATAAAACTAAACATTGATCTAATAGATCTGATATAAATACACTGGAAGTAATAGAAACAAAGCTTTTGATTAAGTTATCGTAATTCACAAGATATAACAATAGATTTGTTGTTTTCATTGAAAGCACATAGATAATGATAATTTTGACATTATAAGGTTATTATTATATTTGTTTTAGTTATTGCTATGAGAGGATAACTTTCCTTAAAACAAAATGATATTTTTACAACTATTAACAGTTTTTCTGGTTCTAAACATTTCTTTAGCAAATGATTGTGTAAAAAGGACTTATACAGCCGATTCATTTGTTTGTGTTTGTGATGCTGATAAATGTGACACTTTGGATATTCAGAAAACTGTTGAACCTGGTTATATAGCAATTTATGATTCAGACCAGAAAACAGCTCGTCTTGATAAAACCATTGTACCAGTTGGTCAATTAAAGAGTCGAATCGATCAAACTAAAAACAATCAATTTACTTTGAATGTAAATGTGAAAGATTTAAAACAAAAGATACTTGGCTTCGGTGGTTGTTTTACTGATGGTGCTGTTCTTAATATAGCAAGTTTATCAAATGGTTTGGTTAAATCTTTGATGTATGATTATTTCGGTGAAAATGGTCTTGAATACAATATTGGACGAGTACCAGTCGGTGCATCAGATTCATCGACACATGCCTATTCCTTGGACGATACTCCATTTGACTTTACTCTATCACATTTCGCTCTTGCTGAGGAAGACACTAAATACAGGGTTAGTAACAACATTTTAAACAAATTTTTAACTGCAATCATGTTTTAACAACGATTTAAACTTTAATTTATTAATTATACAGATTCCATTGTTGAAAGTAGCAAAAATGTTGAATCCTGAATTCAGAGCTTTTGCTTCTGCTTGGTCATCACCAACTTGGATGAAAACAAATCACTTATTCCATACTGCTGGTGGATTGATTTGGAAACCTGGAGATGTTTATTATAAACTTTGGGCTCAATATTATGTCAAGTAAGTTGTGTGAATCCAGAATCAATAGAGATAGTGTTGGTGCGTTCATCCCAGGTTGTCACCAAAGACACGGAATTCGTGCACTTGTTGACAATTGACGAAAAATTTAAACAAATTGGTAATAATTAATTTCTTTAAAATGTTGATTCCAAGGGTTGGTAGAAGCATGAAAAGTGAGTCTATTATTGCCATTAAAATAATAGACTAAATATTCCCATGACATGTAATGTGCCTTTACTAACAACTGGTTATTCCATTAGATAAATACGTTCATCTTTATATTAATGTTCATCACAAAAAGCGTCAAGATTGATTTCTTCCTGACTTTTTTCATCGAAAATCATTCTCTTTCAGATATTTGAATGCTTATTTGGATCATGGAGTAAAATTTTGGGGATTAACCACTGAAAATGAGCCCGTTGCTGGATTGAAAGGACTTAATTGGGGTACACTTGGTATGACTCCAGAAGATATCAGAGATTTCGTGAAACTTGACTTGGGACCAGCTCTAAAAGCTGCCGGTTGGGGAAAGGATAATCTAACAATAATGATTCATGATGACAGTACAGATACAATTGGCGACTATGCATCGGTCATATTGAATGACCCAGAAGCAGCACAGTATGTAAAGGGCATTGCTTATCATTGGTACTCAAGAAACTATCCATCGTCATATCAAACTTTATCGAAAGTTCATGATAAATATCCTGATTATTTCATATTCTCATCAGAAGCTGGTAATGGAGGAGTTGGTAAGTATGAATTAATATAATGATTTTATCAATTATATCTTTTAGACTAATTTAATTTCCAATTGTTTCTTTTCTGTAGCTTCTGAGCATTTAGGTGATTGGGGACGAGCCGAATCTTATGCCATTGATATACTCGAAGGCTTACAGCACTGGTCAACTGGTTGGACTGATTGGGCTTTAGCTGTTGATACTGCTGGAGGCCCTAATTGGGCTAGAAATTGGGTCGATGCTACAATCGTTGTAAATGCAACAGCACAAGAGTACTACAAGAATCCAATGTATTATGCATTAGCACATTTCACTAAATTTTTACCAATTGGGTCGACTCGGGTTGGATCTAGTGTAGTAAATGCTCCAGCAAATGTTCATACAACTTCGTTTATAACTCCTGATAATACTTTAGTATTAATCTTGTTAAACATGGGCAATGATCAAATCGATTTGACAATCAATGGATTTGCCAATGTACCTGTTACAACTACACTAAACCAAGATCCATCGCAATATGCTTATTGCATTGAACTGAAATGTTAAATAAATAAACATGAAATCCCTGCATAAATTATTATAATATTTAAAATAAAACAAACAATAAAGAGAAGAAAATCAGTGGCTCTTAAGATGTGAGACACTATGGGTCGTATCAAATTGGCAATGAATCATGGCAGAGTCAATCTACGATAAAATGATTCAATACAGAATTTAATATTCAAGGATCTTCAAGTCACTTTTAACAAAGGGATTGTTGAATTTTGAATAGTGAGGCCCTGGAAATAAATTTACAACGGTTGTCATTAGATATTTCTTGAAAATGTATCCTTAAAATGAAATAAAACAATTTATCCGTGAATTTTGAATGGTTGATAGCATCACAAAAAGTTTTGCCAGGAATTGCTGATTTGAAATGAACACATTCATCTGGTTGATCTGGTATTGATTTGAATTGAGTTATCGTAAAGTTTGGGGCAAGAAAAATTGGGAAAATTCATTTTAATTATGAACTACTACCAGCTGGCTGTATTTATCAGGATTTAAATTGCAAACACAAATTGCCGACTCCCTTTGATGAGTTAATTTGAATAGATTTGAAATTAAAATTTCTTAATTAATCAGTTAATTGCCATATTTTAGACCATTGACATTGAAAAAATGAATCTAAACGAAGTGCAAGTTTTCATGGATTGAATTGTGAATGTCTCATAGTAAAAGCCAAATAAATGCTGGAATCGGGTCTAATTAATCTTCAGTAAATAAACTATCATATGAATCTGCATTATATGATCGTCGAGGGATCCTTTTATTTTGAAGTGTCGAATGCTCGATTGGCAATACTTTTGCACTAAGCTTTAGTTCGCGAGATATAACAATAGATATAATGTTTTCACTAGGAGCACATGAATGAGGTTATTTTTGGTTTGCATATTTTCCGATAAATAAAAAGGTTGATGTGATAAACTGAATTGCATATCACAAAAGTGATTGTGAATTAAAATCGAGGATAGTTAATAAGTTAATAGATCTGCTTTTTTATTATTCTCAACCAATCCAGTATAAATTGTTTTGAACATTATAAAGTTATTTTTAAATTATTGCTATGTAAGGATAGTTTTCTTATTACAAAATGATATTTTTTCAATTACTAACAGTGTTTCTTGTTGTAAACATTTCGTTAGCAAGTGATTGTGTAAAAAGGACTTATACAGCCGATTCATTTGTTTGTGTTTGTGATGCTGATAAATGTGATAGATTGGCCATTGAGAAAACTGTTAAACCTGGTTATATAGCGATTTATGATTCAGACCAGAAGTCAGATCGTCTTGAAAAAACCATTGTACCAGTTGGTCAGTTAAAAAATCGAATCGATCGAATGATGGACAATAAATTTACTTTAAATATAAATGTTAAACATTTAAATCAAAAGATACTTGGCTTCGGTGGATGTTTCACTGATGGTGCTGTTCTCAATATTGCAAGTTTATCCAATGATTTGGTTAAATCTTTGATGTATGATTATTTTGGTGAAAATGGTCTTGAATACAATATTGGACGAGTACCTATTGGCGCATCTGATTCATCGACACATGCTTATTCCTTGGACGATACTCCATTTGACTTTACTCTATCACATTTCGCTCTTGCTGAGGAAGACATTAAATACAGGGTTAGTAAATACACTTTATAAGCAAGTTTCTTGCTGCCGTTCTGTTTTCTTTGCTTATAATATAATGATATAATCTTCAATCTAATAGATTCCATTTTTGAGAATAGCAAAAATGTTGAATCCTGAATTTAGAGCTTTTGCTTCTGCTTGGTCATCACCAGCTTGGATGAAAACAACTCTTTCATTCAAAAATGGTGAATTGATTGGGAAACCCGGAGATGTTTATTATAAACTTTGGGCTCAATATTATGTCAAGTAAGTTATGTGGGAATGATAGTGATAGTCAAGCAAATTAAATAAAAATCGCAATGTTCATCCCGAAAACCATCTCGATTGGTTTCTTCCTCATCATGTTTTCTTGCAGATATTTAAATACTTATTTGGACCATGGAGTGAAATTTTGGGGACTAACTACACTGAATAATCCTCCTGCAGGGTTACGAGGAGCTCCTTGGGGTACACTTGGGATGACTCCAGAACAACTAAGGGATTTTGTAAAACTAGATCTAGGACCAGCTCTGAAAGCTGCCGGTTGGGGAAGGGATAATTTAACACTCATGATTCATGATGCAGGGGCAATTTCAATGGATGAGTATTTACCTGTCATATTGAATGACCCAGAAGCAGCAAAGTATGTAAAAGGTATTGCTTATCATTGGTACGACAGAAAGTATCCTTGGACATACGGAACTATATCAAGATTTATTGGTTATGGTGCTTTCCTATTCTCATCAGAAGCTGGTAATGAAGGTGTTGGTAAGTATCAATTGAGATGCTGCTTTTATTAATTATTGTGAGATATTTTCATTTGTTTCTTTCTATAGCTTCTGAGCATTTAGGTGATTGGGGACGAGCCGAAGCTTATGCCCTTGATATAATTGCAGGTTTACAACATTGGTCAACTGGTTGGACTGATTGGGCTTTGGCTGTTGACACTGCTGGAGGACCTAATTGGGCTAAAAATTGGGTCGATGCTACAATAGTTGTGAATGCAACAGCACAAGAGTACTACAAGAATCCAATGTATTATGCATTAGCACATTTCACTAAATTTTTACCAATTGGATCGACGCATGTTGAAACTTCCGTAGAAAATGCTCGAAGAGGTGTTTATAGAGTTGCGTTTATAACTTCTGATAATACTTTAGTATTAATCTTGTTAAACATGGACGAATATGAAATTGATTTAACAATCAATGGATTTGCCAAAGTACCTTTTACAACTACACTTAAACCAAGATCCATTCGCAATATGCTTATTGCATTGAACTGAAATTTCAGAAAATAAAAGTTTTAAAGAATGATAGAGATTAATATGATTTAATTCATCTAATATTTACACAGTTTAATTAATCAAAATTAAAGTCAAATGTTTGAATTAAACGAAACAAATGCATTTTAAGTTGAGGCGTATTGTTCAATTTTACAATGAAAATTCTTGAATAAATTCCTAAAATGCAATGTAGGGAATAGTGATGGGAAATCTGCAAGAATCAATTATGTAATTATTGATCAAAAATAGATCGTGATTGGATCCTATGAGATTTTGGAGGTATGGCTGGTTTAGTCTTTTGTCTATCGTTTGATGCATCTCCACCATCACTTTCAATTGATTTAAAGAATCGGCACTAGAATC